CTAAACGAACCAAAACGAAGTGGTGGGTGGGAGTTGAGAGAAGAGTGCGAAATGCATATGAAGGAGGTAATGACAGATGCGATGGGCGGGTGGGGGGTTGATGTCTATACCTGCAAAGGAGTAGATGAGTAGGTGTTTCGTTACACTGGGAAGGTGCAGCCAAAAACGAAGAAGACAAAATGGAGCAACTATAAAGATCAGAATAGTCGAAAAAAAAAAAAACGCGTAGAAAAAGATCGCTTCGGTTTCTCAATTTGAAGACGGAAGAAAACCGTTACGATACAGAAATAAACGTGGACAATTCAGCAATAAAAAAAATATGCTTTTTTTTTCTATTTGTTTCTTTTTAATTAGACAACGAAAACAGTCGGAGAGAAGAAAAGAGAGTTAAAGATTACCCTTCGAATATGGCGGCGATAAATATCACGTCTTATTTTAACCTCAAATTTTGTTGTTTAAACCTCATATCGCAGCCACTATTGCTACAGTGAGAAGCATACAGTTCCATCGAGCTTGATAATACTTCTACTACCACAGCTACACTTCTCTTGTCAGTTGTCATGGGTTTTGGCAAACGTGTCTGAAGAAAGGACCAAGGCTTCAAATATCCTGTGCCGTTACATTATCAAAAACATGATTGAAAATAAAATCAAGTTTTTCAGTCTCTTCGTCCGCCATACGAAAAAAAGTACCTTTTATTCTTCACTGCCATAAATAGGTTTCTTGCTTGCTTTGTACTATATCTATTAGCTGCGCGGATTTTACAAACATTTCATCAATACAATTTACACGCGGTACAAATTATTAACTCGTGGACTTGAATTTTTTTTTTTTTTTGCTTACATTTATTTCAATTAAAAATTTTATACAATTACTGAATACTTGTTAATGCACAAGATTCTACTGGAGTTTTAAACAGCTGAAACAACAACAGCATTAATAATAATACAAATAATCTATATCTATAAAACAGAAGATGTCTTTGTGTGCGTGTCTGTCCGTGTGTGTCTTTGTGTGTATCTGTATGTTGCTTATGCATGTCCACATTTCTCGACCGATTTCGATGAAATTGTATACACATGTTGCAAATTTACCAACATAGGTCAAGACCGACTTTTCAATCTCCAAACCCTCGCCCACGGCTTAGGCAGAAAAATCGATAAGACTGAAGGTGGGTATGACTTTTTTGCAAAAGGCAATGATACACGCTTACAAAACTTTCACTGGATGAGCTGATGTCTTTTCAGTTAATGCAAATCATAGCTCATGTTACGAGGTTTATGTAAAGTGCTTGATAGTTTTCCTGCAACATTGGCTTCGCGGAAAAAATTGCGAAAACTGTGAAAAAATCGGTTTTTTCGTACAACTTTAAATAAAAACCTTTTGATCAGATTTTGTTCAAACATGTCTCTTAAAAATTTGCCATCATGCAAGAAATAAGATTTTAGAAATAAGATGTTTGTAGTTCTGCTCGCTTCCGTGCGTATTACAAAACTCCACGAAAAACTGTTCAAAAAGCCAGTTTTCCGTCCATAACTGCCTGGTTTTTCATCAGATGCAATCCAAATTTGCAATCTAAATTACATATGACACACAAATTCTCTTGCGTGAATTTTTGTTTTAGATTATTTCCTTTAGGGGGATGAAATCTGCGATAAACTAGGTTCAAAATCGGTTTTTGCCATTTAGCCAATAGTTTCTTCATATGATTCCATTATTGATGCAAAGATTGTTTGAGAAGGATTATTGAAGCGTTAAAAGAAAAAATTCCCGAAGAACCTCTTATTAACCCCAGCTTTACAGTAAACATGCGAAGAAAAAGGGGAGACATTCATGCGTTTGCACTTGCACTTGAGTCAAGCTCAGATGCTTTATCCCTGTTTTTGTTTGATTATTAGATTTGTAAACAATGCCATACCATTTGAAAGTTATTACGGCCATAGGAAATTTACTGAATATCTAAAACATTGAAACAATTTAACCCCGAGCAACGACCACACAAGAAGGTTTTATCGATGGAATTCCTTTATTAAGAACAATCAAACACTTGCGAAAGACATACTGGAAAGAATATGAGACAGGACGGCTTGCATGTGTCATCCGGTGGTATAGAATCAATATCTACGGTGAAAAATCTGCAACTTTTACGCGAAGGAATTTGTTGGGAACATCACCCAGACCCGGTTACAGAGATGAGATCTGTAACAATTTTATGGAACTTTACAATACACACAGACAGAAAAATCAAAGTTAATCTAGCACACATCGTGACTAAAGACCACAAGAAAGTGCTTTCTTACATGGCAGTCTCTGCAGATTGTAATGTTTCTTTGAAGATCTTCAAAATTCAACAAGATATAAGCATCTTGAAAGGGTAATTCAAAAAAATGTACCACATCAATAATTCCACTTGTAGTTTGAGCCCTCGGATTCATTGGAAAAGGGTACTAGAGACTCATTGAAATCCATACCTTAAAGAAATACATAAAATTGTACACACAAGCACAGCTCACACATTAGGAAGAGCTTAATCTATGTAAAACGTGAGTTATCTTAGGTTGCTTTTTTTGTTTTCTTTTTTACAAGCATATCATAAGGCCATTTCTGACTTTAGGTCTCTGGTTGGGACCCGGAAGGAAATATGTATACAACAGAAAACCATGGAAATAATAATAATAATAATAATAATAATAATAATAATAATAATAATTGGTATGAACACCACCCAGACACGGTTACAGAGATAGGACCTGTAACAATTTTATGGGACTACACATTACACACAATAAAAGCTACCCCCCACCCGACATGGATATTAGGGACCGCAAACAAAAGAATTGCCTCTTTATTGATATGGCAGTCACTGCAGACTGTAAAGTATCTTTGAATATCTTCAAAAAGCTATCCAAATACAAGGACCTTGAAATCGAACTCTCAAAAATGTGGCACATGAGAACATCAATAATCCCTGTTGTAGTTGGAGCCTCGGATGGATCAGAAAAGATTCCAGTAGACTAACTGAATGGATTCCTGGAAGCCCATGCTCTAAAGAAATACCAAAAATTGTTCTCACGAGTATAGCCCGCACCTTATGAAAGGCTTTATCTTTGTAAAACATGTTTTGTTCTTTTTTGTTTTTGTTGTTCTTTGTAATTGCTTAGTGAAAAATGTCATGATGCCATTTCTAACCTTAGATCTCTAGTTGAGACCCGAAAACAAATGAGTACGCACCAGAACTGAAAGGAAATAAAACAATAATAATAATCAAGTAAAACTGAACTGTGATAAGCACATCTCGACTGACAAGCGCTTGGAGAACAATCGCCCTGACATCACACTTGTGCCCAAGAGTATCTATGAATGGATAGACGTTGCGTTAACTTTGGATACGGACATCGTGAACGTGGGGCAAGCGAAAATACAGTGATGCGAAGACCTGGCAGGTCAACTGGGTAAAATGTAACCGATCTGCAGCTGAAGATCTCTCATTTTTGGTTGGTGCACTCGAGAATGTTTCCAGGAATCTTTCTGCCTCGAAGGTCGCAGGAAACCTGGCATAATTTGGAATGCATAGAGGGTATGAATAATCATCTGGAGAAACAATAACAATCTGAAAAAAACAACAAAAGATTTACTAACTGATAAAATATCAATTAAAATTAACTTCAGATGAGAATTGAAAGGAAAATCAAGATTGACAACTACAACGATTTGAGCTTTTAAAACTTACGGAAGGACAAAATTATGAAACATTCGGAAAGACGCAATTGTGAAAAATTCGGAAGGACTCTACTTTGAAATATTCTGAAGGAGAAAAATTTGAAAGTTTCGGAATGAGAAAATTTTGAAAAGTCAGGAATGACGAAATTTCGAAAAGTTCAGAAAAAAGAAATTTTGAGCCTTTCGGAAGGACAAAATTTTGAAACATTCGGAATGACAAAATTTTGAACGTCTCGGGGAAGAAGAAATTTAGAAATATTCGGAAGGACGACATTTTGAACGTCTCAGAAGCACAAAATTTGAAACATTCAGAAGGACGAAATATTGAAACTTTCCGAATGACGAAAGTTTGAACTATTTGAAAGGACGAAATTTTGAAACATTCGGAAGAACGAAATTTTGAAACATTGGAAAGGACGAATTTTGAATCATTCGAAACTGAAGGGTTTGTTCTTGTTACTGAAGAAAAGAATAGAAATGCCTCACCCGGATGTCTCAGTTATCTCCCTTTCGGAAGGATGAAATGTTGAAACATTCGGAAGAACGAAATTTTGAACCTTTCGGAAGGATGAAATTTTGAAACATTCGGAAGAACGAAATTTTGAACCTTTCGGAAGGATGAAATTTTGAAACATTCGGAAGAACGAAATTTTGAACCTTTCGGAAGGATGAAATTTTGAAACATTCGGAAGAACGAAATTTTGAACTATTCGGAAGGATGAAATTTTGAAACATTCGGAAGAACGAAATTTTGAACCTTTCGGAAGGATGAAATTTTGAAACATACGGAAGAACGAAATTTTGAACCTTTCGGAAGGATGAAATTTTGAAACATTCGGAAGAACGAAATTTTGAACCTTTCGGAAGGATGAAATTTTGAAACATTCGGAAGAACGAAATTTTGAACCTTTCGGAAGGATGAAATTTTGAAACATTCGGAAGAACGAAATTTTGAACCTTTCGGAAGGATGAAATTTTTAAACATTCGGAAGAACGAAATTTTGAACCTTTCGGAAGGATGAAATTTTGAAACATTCGGAAGAACGAAATTTTGAACCTTTCGGAAGAATGAAATTTTGAAACATTCGGAAGAACGAAATTTTGAACCTTTCGGAAGGATGAAATTTTGAAACATTGGAAGAACGAAATTTTGAACCTTTCGGAAGGATGAAATTTTGAAACATTCGGAAGAACGAAATTTTGAACCTTTCGGAAGGATGAAATTTTTAAACATTCGGAAGAACGAAATTTTGAACCTTTCGGAAGGATGAAATTTTGAAACATTCGGACGAACGAAATTTTGAACTATTCGGAAGGATGAAATTTTGAAACATTCGGAAGAACGAAATTTTGAACCTTTCGGAAGAATGAAATTTTGAAACATTCGGAAGAACGAAATTTTGAACCTTTCGGAAGGATGAAATTTTGAAACATACGGAAGAACGAAATTTTGAACCTTTCGGAAGGATGAAATTTTGAAACATTCGGAAGAACGAAATTTTGAACCTTTCGGAAGGATGACATTTTGAAACATTCGGAAGAACGAAATTTTGAACCTTTCGGAAGGATGAAATTTTGAAACATTCGGAAGAACGAAATTTTGAACCTTTCGGAAGGATGACATTTTGAAACATTCGGAAGAACGAAATTTTGAACCTTTCGGAAGGATGAAATTTTGAAACATTCGGAAGAACGAAATTTTGAACCTTTCGGAAGAATGAAATTTTGAAACATTCGGAAGAACGAAATTTTGAATTATTCGGAAGGATAAAATGTTGAAACATTCGAAAGGTTGAAATTTTGAAACATCTGAATGGATGAAAGTTTGAAATTTTCTGAAGGAGGCAATTTTGAAATTTTTGGCAGGACTAAATTCTGAGGCTTTCGGGGTGACGATCATAAAAAGTAATTACAATCCAGGATATCAGATGGCGTATCGGGGTGTTGCCTCAAAAACTTGCAATTATTACATTGGAATTTGGAAATGGACTCGTTACAAAAACCGTGCCTGTTTGGACCAGCAAGAGTACTTTGATCGGTATTGGATGAAAAGAATAAAATCTTCTGTTTATTTTCTAAATTCAGGAGGGGTTCCATGAGCGTAAGTGAAATAATAATTATAATAAAAATAATATGGATGAGACTGAAGGTTTTATTCTTGTTACTGAAGAAAAGGCTTGGCTAAGAGTGAAGTGATAATTTATAGCGAACGGAAGTAGTAAAAGAGACACCCTAGCATTTTTCTCTGATTTCTGGTGGGATTTTTCGACTGGAACGGAACAAACGAATGCGTCAGTATGATAAAGACGGTGAGGTAGAGAGTTGTTGCCCAAATCGCTTAGAGGGAAAGAACGAGAGTGAATAATATTATTATTATTAGATGCTGTTGCCTTAGATTTTGAGGAGGAAGGAATGAGAAAAATGTTTCGTGCAAAAGAAAGAACGATTTATTGTGAAAGATTTATAGTCGTTGCAAAGAAAAAGAAATGCATGGAAATAAAGAAATAAAGGAGAAAGAAAAGAAAACGCCATGAGGAAAAGAGACAAAATAGAAATAAAGAAAGAAAGGTGAGGAGAAGCAGACGGGAATAAGAAAGAAAGAAAGAAAGAAAGAAAGAAAGAAAGAAAGAAAGAAAGAAAGGCGACTACTGAGAAGAAAAAAATATTAGATTTATGAGGTCAAAGAATACAGAGAAGAATGGAAAAAAGCCGAGAAGAAAGAAAGAAAGAAAGAAAGAAAGAAAGAAAGAAAGATGAAGAGAAACAGAGGAAAACATGCAAGCAAGAAAGAAAATCAAAAGGAACAAAATGATAAAGAAAGAAAGTAAGAGAGACGCAGATCAGAACAAGAAAGAAAGAAAGAAAGAAAAAAAGAAAGAAAGAAAGAAAGAATTGTAGAAATTTTAAATCCGGTTCACGAACGAAACAATAATCTGACCGACTCTCCAGTAAATAAAAAAATCATTCTAGGAAAGAATGAAGTCTTATTTCAAACGAAAACATTGACCCGTTCACAAAACCGGAAGAAAATAGTGAGTTTTTCTTTCGTGCATTCATGCACGGCTGTTCACCTTATGCGCATGCGTTCTTCAGCGATTCCGCTTCCGTTTTTCTTTTTCTTTTTGGTAGCCATAGTCACAGATTATAACATCACTGCTGTCTGCCATAGCTCTTCATCTTTTTGTGTGGGTTACAAAAAAAGTATTAAATTAATCTGTTACAAATCGAGTTTTATCAGTTTTCTCCGAGATTTTTTAATATTTTCTGTTTAATATACAATTATAATATTTTCTTTTAATTCTCCTCAGCGCTGTGACTTATTCATTACGTTTTGCTAGCACTGAACAATTAAAACTGTACACCGTGTCTGAATTCTCGTATCAGTGGCAATTCTGTTCCTTTGATGTGACAGCCAGTCAAGGAGAAGTGAAATTCTGAATTCAAAACCAGCCTTCTGCAGTGGTACAATGGGTGAAAAAATTCTGGGATAGATACGAAGTCTGGGATAGAGATGAACACAAAAGTTACATAGATAGATAGATAGATAGATAGATAGATAGATAGATAGATAGATAGATAGATAGATAGATATGAACAGACCATGATAGATTTAATAGGCTACATGACTAGTGCGTTTGAAATCTCGGTCTAATTTAGTATAAATTTTCATTCGTGGGACAATGGCCATGCACCCATAATAAGCTCCTACTACGAGATACCAAAGCCTTAGGTTGGAATAAATGCTCTATACCATTTTTTTTTTTTTTAGCAAAAAAAAAAAAAATAGTTGTGAGCAAATATATATTTAAACATCAAATAGTAACCATTACTTTCAATGAACTTGTTCCACCTGCCAACCAGTTTCTTAATGCTAATTGTATAAAATTCTTTAGTATATTTCGATTGACGTATTTTAATTATCTACATTATTTAGATTGTTCGGACTGTTTTTTGCCATGTTCACGGCGTTTCGGCCGTTGTATGCTCCGGCTTTCTTCAGATGATTGGAATTTCGAACTGAACCCTTTATTTAGCCCGACAGAGGTAGATTCTTCTATTTCCACGTGCCATGCCTCACCCGGATGTCTCAGTTATCTGCCTTCAACTCAACACTCCGAGTCTCTGTTCACTACTGCCTTTGGGTCAAGTCACTGGACTCAACCAACGCTTTTATCCAATTGGGCCATGTTGGAGAGTTGGGTTAAAGGGAGATGAGTGGGACATTTGGAAGAGGCATAGCACGTGGAACTAGAACAATCTACCCCGCTGGACAAAATAATGTGTTCAGTTCGAAATTTCATTCACCTGAAGAAGGCCGAGGCGTAAGACGGTCGACACGTCGTGAATGTGACAATAAAGATGAGGAAAACGATCCGAACAATGTAGCAGAGTAAATAATTATAATACTTCAGAAATATAGAAAGGTATATTTACATATAAATACGATATATCTCAGATAAATACAATAAAATCATATAAAAGTTAGAAAGTCTGTGGTAGATACAAACGGTCTAACATAGATAGATAGATAGATAGATAGATAGATAGATAGATAGATAAAAAGAATTGGAGACGTAGGTATTTATTTACTTATAAACAACATGAGATTTGTGTTTTTGTATAACAGTAACAGAAATAAATGAGGAGACAGTGGAAAAGCTTATAAATGTCACTTTTTGCCAAGTCCTATAGCAGTTGGCGAAAGGCGTCGTTTGGCGGATTTTCCAGTTTGTTTCCTCTTCTCCGGACAGATAGATAGATAGATAGATAGATAGATAGATAGATAGATAGATAGATAGATAGATAGATAGAATATGAACAGACCATGATAGATTGATAGATATATAGATAGATAATGAGCTGAGATACATATGGACACAAAGAGATAGATATATAGATAGATAGATAGAGATAGATAGATAGATAGATAGATAGATAGATAGATAGATAGATATGAACAGACGTAGATAGATTGATAGATATATAGATAGATAAAAATCTGAGATACATATGGACACAGATAGATAGATAGATAGATAGATAGATAGATAGATAGATAGATAGATAGATAGATACGAACATACCGTGGTAGATACATAGATAACAGTCTGAGATAGATACGAACACAAAAGTTACATAGATAGATAGATAGACAGATAGATAGATATGAATAGACTGAGATTGATTTTTTAAAATTCTTTAGGCTTTGACCCGAAATAAGGGACTAATTAATTTCTACCCCGTCTCTTGCAGTTATTCGAATTCTATCCAATTTGCTTTGCAAACTTCTAAACAGTAATGGGGCCGAGCAATAAATGGTAAATGAAGAATTTTTTGCAGTCGAGTTCTCAGAGACTTTTGATTATTAGTGTAGTAAGTGGTCGTGCCATTTCATGGTAAATGATCATATATTTTCTCCTAAATAAGGTCTTTTTGTCCGAAGCTGCCTTTAGACACGTTAACTTTATCAGATAGCAGCTGCTATGATTGACTATCGTTTTGTCGTCGTCGGCTTTATTCTCGTGTCCCAGAATTTAATTTCTTCTTTGCTGATTGATTCCTTTATAATGATGGTGTTGATGGCTAAATTTGCCGCCAACGCGCAGGTTCAGGACTAGAAGCTTCCAGTTCCATCAAAGCCTGCTCCCATCATCCATTCCCTATCGCCGTTTGACTATTCAAGAGATGGCTGTAGTTAAAAAAAAATTTCAGAATAGAAGAGAGTACCAACGGCGTGATTTGTTTAAGGATAGCATCAACTTGCCAGGAAGAGAACCACATACTTGAATCCACGATCTTCCTCTGTGGTACATATGGAATGATACATGCAGAATCCAGTTGGGAAAATGCAACAGACTGCCACTGATTCTGTTATGATTTCGAGTGACGCCTTCTATAGCATGTCCGTCCTGCGTAGCCCTCTTCATCCGCTGGTTTAATCAGATCTGTTGTAATCATCAAGAGCTTGTTCTACTATTGGTGGGTTTGGGGTTGGTTCCTCTTAGTCTGGGTTTTCGCCTTCGGCTTTGCCGCCAAGGTTGGCCCTACCAGGAGTTTAGAACTCCCGACGGTATCGCTCTCAGAGTGATTGGACTGCGCCATCCCTTCCTGTTCAAAGTGTAACTGTAATATTGAAATATCTTTTACAACGGAACTTTCAACTTTTGAGACGTCACCCTCTAACACTCTCGATAACAAATCAAATTAATAAACACTTATTCTGAGATAAACCCGGAAGAATATTTTGGGGATGCTCAAAAGATCTTACAGCCCAATTAAATCACTGCAGCTTACTCTTAATGTTGTGCTAAAGTATACATGTTTCATCGACATTTTTTCTGTAGAAAAAAACTGACGTGAATGACACGTTGCTTGCGATTGTCTGCTGAAACGACACTAAAACCCATTTTCATGCATATGACACTTTTTATTTTGAGATGGATGCTCATATGTCTAATTTTGAAGTGACCACTGATTTCCATAATTACCATTAACAGTTTCACTCGCTGAATCGAAATCATATTCTCTGAGATTTATACTAAATCCCATTTTCTGAAACAAGTAAACAATTTGTTCTATAGTCTCTCACACACAGCAGTATCAGGCAAATGAATAACAAAGAGGAACTCCGACCTGTGTGAGACGATGAGCTGCATCCGACAGCCGGGCTTCTGCTCGGGAGGTTTTAAGGATCATAGAGTCACCTCTCGGTTGCTAGTGTTCTCGGGTTCGCTCTGACCCGAGGTGGTAGCACCCGTTGGCGTCCAAGCTGTGGGTGGATAGTTGGCCCCGGGCTTTTTTCGGAGCACTGTGAACGTGTAGGAGTGGGATTTAGTACCAGTAAATTAATTTTTATGAAAATATTGCTAGCAATGAATTTTTAAGGAAAGAATTATAACCAGCAATAAATTTTTGAAGGAAAAATATTACCAGCAATACATTTTTGAAATAAAGTAATATTACGAGCAATACTTTGATATATATATATATATATATATATATATATGTGTGTGTGTGTGTGTGTGTGTGTGTGTGTGTGTGTGTGTGTGTGTGTGTGAAGTGTATATAAATATAAATAAATATATATATGTATAATTATTTATATATTATATGCGCGGTACTTATTAGAAAGCGCTCAATATCAGAGATAGAGCTAACATATTTGGTTGGATAGATGTGAGTTTGTGACCCTGGGTTTCACGCTTTAGCGATCGTCAGACAACGTTGATATTTATATGCCGGACAATAAAACAAAACAAAAACAAAGAAACAAAAGTGGAAATTATCTGTTTTACGTGATTCCTTTTGTAGGTGAACTTGACCGGACAAAAGTAATTATTTAATGTAGCAGGGGGCCGGGGTTTAACGTGAGCGTCGGTTATAAGTATGTAAAAGAGGAAACAGTGAAATTCTAAAATCTTTTTTCTTAGACGTGTCTGGACATACAGCCTAGCCGATCTCATTCAGTTCCCTAATGATTTTGCTTTTATGACTTTTATTATTAAGTATACCAAAGTGTGATAATAGATCTGCCAAGAAAGTTGAAACGCTGAAAGAATCCGGACGAAACATTACCAGGGATGATCCTGCAATCACAGAACTTTCTGTGCACTTTTGACTTAATAAACAGTTTCTCTTTTAATTAAAGTAGAACATTTTTAATCAAAATTATATTCAGAAAAAAAATGTCAACTTAAACATTTAAAATTTCTTCCTTTGCAAATTTTCAGTCTTTTCCCCTCGTTACAGACACTCACGTCTTAAATCCCCCTCCTCTACATATATATAATTCTATCATCAAGTTTTCAGTCTTTTCTCCTCGTTACATACACCCACGTTTTAAATCCCCCTGTTACACATATATAATTCTATCAGCAAATTTTCAGTCTTTTACCCTCGTTACAGACACTCACGTTTTAAATACCCCTCTTACACATATATAATTCTATCAGCAAATTTTCAGTCTTTTGCCCTCGTTACAGACACTCACGTTTTAAAGCCCCCTCTTACACATATATAATTCTGTCAGAAAATTTTCAGTCTTTTCTCCTCGTTACAGACACTCGCGTTTTAAATCCCCCTCTTACACATATATAATTCTATCAGTAAAAAATTTACTTTACTCCGATGAAGTGCTTCTCGAGAATGAAAAGTATATGCCGCACTTTTTTTTTAATTTTTTGTCATTCATTTGCATTGCTTTAAAATATCATATATCATATTCATCAACACCACAGAATAACAAGCAGGCCTTCTGCCATAAATAAACCATTTACACCTCTGCGTCACGTTGTGCTAAAGGATCCATTTCTCATAGCCGGTAATGTCTCTGTCAAAAAAAGTTACTTGAAGCTGACGTTAATGTGCGTTTCTGTGATGACAGGTCACGTAGAATTCACTTCCAAGATTTTCGATTTGCGATGGTCAGTCATGTTATTAACGCTGAAATGCTAGCTGATTTTTCCTAATTACGACCAGCATGTGCTCCAAGCAGTCGGAATCAAGTCCGAGTGTGACCTTCTCTTTATTCATCCTTTAGGTGGAAGTCCCTTTTTTTTTTTCTGTGTCAGGGAAACTATCTCCAATATCTCCGTCTACTCATTAGATTAAAACAAAAATATTATTGCGATAAATGTTTTGCTGCTACGCTTACGTTACTCCTTCTGTGAAATGCAAAGTCAATGGCATGACGAATGTGTTCTTTATTTGGAGCAAATGTGATCGATCGAGAAGGCTTTCCTTCAAATAATTTTCGTAGAGTGTGAAAGGCAATTAGTTTTAAATTGAAACTAGTTTGAAATGATTTTCGACCTTTCCATAATTTTTTTTTTAGCAGTACGCTAGGTGTCAAAACGGAAGGAGATGATGAAATGTGCCCACTTAGATTTCTTTTCAATCTATATTTTGATTAACAGTAAAATCTTATACGCGAAAAAAGAAAACAAAACATTAGCTGCTGAAACTGCTACAAAGATAATGTATCATGTAGAAAAGTATAAGTGTTTGGTTGCAAGAGCGCTTGCGATATCTCCGGATGTTATTTAGCATGATTTTCTCATGAAATTCACGTTTTTTTTCGTTTGTTTATATATATATATATATATATATATATATATATATATATATATATATATATATATGTTATGAAATGGACAAATTCCAACAATTATTTTAAGACATTTTTATGTTTATACATTCTTTTTTTTTATAGATACAAATATTTAAGTAAATGCTCTGTTATAATAAACAGTATTAACAACATTTACAGGCCTGAATGTCCGAGAAGAAATTGTCATAGAAATTGTGTGTCCTCCGACAGAACCTGTATCCTATACGGAACCGTCATATAGCATTTTCATAATGTGCGACGTCATTTATTTTTACATTTGGATACGCATCGAGCAGATATGAATGTACGTGAGACAATCATGGAAAATTGTAGTTTAAAAACAGTAAAATCGAGCTTGCTAACCGAAACGCTCCTCTGGGAGGAAATCTGTAAAAGCACGTCAGACTATAATGCCGGATTTCTTGTTCTCTCAATTTTTTCGTGCGTCTTCTGGTTCTCTCAATTTTCTCGCGTGTCATCTCGTTCTTTCAATTTTCTCGCGGAATTTCTTGTTCTCTCAGTTTTCTCGCTGATACTATTTTCTCGCTGATACAATTTTCTCGCGGGTCTTCTTCATCTCTCGATTTTCTCGACGGATTTCTTCTCTCTCTCTCTCTCTCTCTCTCTCTCTCTCTCTCTCTCTCTCTCTCTCTCCATTTTCTTGCTGGACTTCTCGTTCTCTTATTTTTTTTTTTTTTTTTTTCGCGGGACTTCTCGTTCTCTCAATTTTCTGGCCGGACTTCTTCTTCTCTCATTTTTCTCGCTGATGCAATTTTCTCGCTGATACAAGTTTCTCGCTGGTCTTCACCTTCTCTCAATTTTCTCGATGGATTTCTCTCTATTTTCTCGCTGAACTTCTCGTTCTCTTAATTTTTTCGCGGGTCTTCACCTTCTCTCAATTTTATCGCCGGATTTCTTGTTCTCTCACTTTACTCGCGTGTCATCTCGTTCTTTCAGTTTTATCGCTGATACAATTTTCTCGCGGGTCTTCACCTCTCAATATTCTCGAGGAATTTCTTGCTCTATCCATCTTCTCGCTGGACTTCTCGTTCTCTTAATTTTGTTCGCGGGTCTTCACTTTCTCTCAATTTTTCACGCGTGTCATCACGTTCTCTCAATTTTCTAACGGGTCCTCAAGTCTCGCGATGGATATTAAATAAACCTGTTCAGAAGGCGCGTGCATGTCTTAGTTATCCACGTGTCTTTATTGAACATGTTCTCTATCCTCTAATAGATTGTTTGTCTCCAAAAGAATTTACGGCTCTCAACAACTTCTATTTTTGATCTAGTTAAGTTGTTTTTAAAAAGCGATGGGCCGCACTTTCAGTCTTTTATTAGCACATTTTCCAGATATTTAAATTTTTGTACTTGTTTGATTTTACTATCCCCGATTTGTAATTTGCATTTTGGGGTCACCCTTGTGCTAATGACCATGAGCTCTTGTCTTCTTGTAGTTCATATTTAGTTCTTTCTTCAAACTTTCCTTCTCTAATGCAGCGTCAGTCATCACCATTACCATCCGTCTCTTTCAATCCTATTCTTTTAGTGTAGTTTATCCTCACTAACGTTTTCTCTCTTCCGTCTTAGTGGCTTTATTGTCTTCCTTGGGTTTAAATGATTTTTTTAAATGTCTATTGCTTGCGATCAAATCTTCAAAAACACTAAGTCAAGAACTATGGTTTATCAACGAACTAAAAAATATTAATAATATACTTTATGTGTCGTGTCTTTTCAGGATATAGCCGGTCATGCCTCTCCACAACTTCTCTTCCTTGTAGCTATAAGCAATATTTGTCGCTTGATTATCCCTCCTAGATCCTTTTCTGCCACCAATTTCGTAATCTCTTTTATTATGTGACGCCTTATCCACTTTCCCTAACTTTAATATAAAAAACGAGTGTCATATTCACCAAGCTCCCTTTCCTCAAGATGTGTCCTAGAGATTTAAAATTTCTCTTTCTAATTCTACGTATAACTGATCCTTGTATTCCATTTTTTTTAAATGGCTTCGTTATTCGCATACTCTGCCCATGGTATTCTCAGCATCCTTCTGTAGAGCGTCCTGGGTATGACCATAAACTATATCCGCGTCCTGGGTAAGACGATGGACTACATCCAACAGCGACGCCTCTGATTAGGAGGTTTTGAGGAGCGTAGAACCACCTCTTAATTGCTGGTGTTCCCACGTCCACCGTGACCCGGGGTCGTAGCACCTGTTAGGGTCCCAGCTATGGGCAAATAGTTAATCCCGAAACTGGGGTCAAAACAGAATGAAAGTGTAAAAATGGGTTTTAATACAAGCATTGAATTTTTGGAGAAAAAAAATGTTTACTTTTTTTCGAAAAAAAGATGAGGTTATTATGGTTATATTTACTACCAGTATGTTTTCGGATAGAGTCTGGTAAGCTTGTGCGGGTGTGTTTAAATGGATTCCAATAGAGCTGTGGTCCGATAGGTGTAAGGTGAGGCATCTGGATAGGCATGTAGTAGCGGGACCTATGTAATTATTTATGAATTCGGTTTTTGATCAAATATTTATCCGTTATAGAAACTAAGACAAAAATGGAAAGGATCATTATAAAAAGAAATAGACATAATATGTCTATATTATTCAATGAAGCATGTTTGAATGAAGATATGCTGCATATATATATATATATATATATATATATATATATATATATATATATATATATATATATATATATATATATATATATATATATATATATATATATATTTATATACATATGTGTGTGTATAAATATATATATATATATATTTGTATGTGTGTGTGTGTGTGTGTGTGTGTGTGTGTGTGTGTGTGTGTGTGTGTGTGTGTGTGTGTGTTGGGCGTGTGGCCAAGTGGTCAAAGCGTTCGCTTTCTGACCAAGAGACCTAGGTTCGAATCTCACCATGGTTCCTGATGTTATCGGACTGCGTGCGGCACCTTTGGAATGTGCCTCGAAAACATACCACGGGTTGACCCAAGCCTTGTGAGTGAAATTGCGTAGACGGGCCATCAATAGCTGGGCAACTGATCGAGGGCTTGATCAAATTGTTAACCACGCTAGATAACACGCTCCCTCTCAGAACTCTAACTAAGGTCTGCTCAGCATAGTTGCAGTATAAAACACAAGTGGTCAAACACAAATGTGCATGAGCGAACATCTACTAGCCGCCCTAAGAGATGGGTATCCTAAAATATACCAGCGGCCAGCTATCATACATGCATATATATATATATATATATATATATATATATATATATATATTTACTTACTATTTAGAAAAATATATTTTCATGTAGTAATGGAAAAGTGGGGAATGAACGGATTCATAAATGTTGCATCAAATAATTGTAAGCGTGAGAAGATGAGAAAAAGAAAGGAAGAAAAGCCTAGAGAAAGAATGAAAGGGAAAGAAAAAAGAAATAAAGAGAAAAAGGACAAACTAAATGAAGAAAGGAAGTAAGCGAAGCGGAAAGAAAATAGAAAAGGAAGAAAGGAAGACAACAAAAGAAAGAAATAAGTAAAACCTCGAGAAAAAGAAGAAAAGCCAAAAGGAAAAAAACAAATACAACGAGAGAGAAATAGAAAGAAAACGTAACGAGATAAGGCACAATGACATACTTAAATATTTATCTCCGCAACAACTTGTTTTTCCCTCAAAATAATATAAGCTTTTGTTGTCATGGTAACACCTACATATCTTTAAAATGCTGTCGTCTGCTACTTTGAAACAAAGAGAAGGAATGATTAACTGAGTGAATGAAGCCTCACACTGCATTACAAACAAGAAGTTATTATCAGAATAGAATTATATATATTTATTTTCTTGATAGTTTTATATACATTTCGTATAAATCTTTTTCGAGTTTTTGAAAATGGCGCTGAACATAAACGAAAAAAAACACATAAAAAGAACAAAATTTCTCGTGAATGTGCTAATGAAAAAAATAGTGACATCTTCCACGTCTGTTGACTCTGCCTCTGCGCATGCGTACATAGGCACTTCGAAAGATAACGTGTTCACCTCACAAAATGGCTTCTTCCTAATTAACAAGCTGATACGACACAGGAGAATGGGTGGAAGGTGGCATACATCACCATATATCTAAGACCACACTCCCGAAAAACCAGTTCCTCTCCAACACATCTCTCTCCACTTATCATCCGAATAGCGCATATTGATTTCCCCGAAACAAATTATCTGCTTGACCCGAGGGCCGCAGCTCATTAGAGGTTTGCGCATGCAAAATGTAGTGCCGTTTGTGGCAAAGGTGTGAACCAGCACCCACCTCCTACGTCGTGAACGTCTTTCATTTTCCCCTCCCTATCTTGCCTTGCGTCAAGCTATCTTGTTCTGTGATTACAACTATTTCTAATGGCGAGCATCGTCTGCATTCACGAGTGTATCACAGTGTAATATTTTCTTTATCATATTGTAGGTAGGCAGAGGGGAGGCCATCATTACGTACCAATGTCCTTTTCATTACATACCCTTTTAGTTGAGCGCTTAGAGAAACGAATTGGTAGCTCTGTTTCTTGTGTATCTATTATTAGAAGATGGCTGACAATTTTTTTATTAACTTTTTTGTTTGATTTCCTACCGCTTTCACCAAAAGAGAGAACCATTTTGCTAATCACAAAGCTCTGTGTATAAAAGACTGCCATCTGCGACATTTACCCTGTTATAGAATGCGTAGGCTAGACAAAAATGATAATTGTATTGGAGACCTTTCCATGATTTATTATCAGTGGGCGTCATTTTAACAATATAAGATATGTAGATGACACTCTGTTGATGGCTGAATGGAAAGGAAGCTACAGGAACTCCAAGACAGGGTAGTAGAAGAAAGCTAGAAGAAAGGACTATCAATGGCAAGAAAACAGAAAGTATTGTCATCAGTATGAGAAAAACACTAAGATCTGAGTTACGAATTGGAGAGATCAAGCAGGTGCAGAAGTTCAAATATCTGGGAAGCGTTTTAAAAGAGGATAGAAAATGTGACAACGAGATCCGAATAGGAATTCTAGTGGCGAAAGAAGCTTTTCAAAATCTAAGACAATTTCTGAGAAACGTTAAAAATATTTGATCGGCAAATTTTCTAGCGATATGAAATTTCGAGAATCTATGACGAAAAAGAATTTCGCTTAGAGGTACTATTCAGCGTTGGTTGATCGGTAAATTTTCTTCGTGGCCGTGCCGATCTAAACCACATTGAATCTAACGACGGTGCCAACTGCCTAGGGAGTAGGAGGGAGTGGCGCATGTTCGAATCCTGCCGGAGGGCGCATATTTTCTTTAATAAGATTTCTCGAATAGTCAGGCCGGTAGACAACAATAAATATACTGTTTAATAAATAAACGGAACGTCTATTCAAATATGATTAACCTACATTAAATAATATTTAAGGTCATTATATATATATATATATATATATATATATATAATATATATATATATATATATATAAAGGCAGGATGTGTGTGTGTGTGTGTGTGTGTGTGTTTGTAACGAATGCACGGCCGCAAATTCCGACGGATTTGCACCAAAATTTACATGCACATGCTCCAAGTTAGCGGGAAGGCCAAGACCGACTTTGCATTTCCCAACTCCCATCGATAGTGGAAATAATCAATTTTTTTCATTCTTCTACGGCAGTTTTCATGTAGCTTGCAGCCATTTTGTACTGCTCAGAGTGACAGCTAATAGCTGGCTGCCACGAATAGGCAAGAAGATTTTATTGGCCAGCATGAGAGCCAACAGCTGACTGACACAAATGTTAACTAGCATGCAAAAAATTGATAGCTTCATACGTCACAAGTGGGAAAAATTTAAATTTGCATAGCACTTTACTCCAATTGGCTCATTCGCTTGCTTAAGCTCAACGTTGATTCTGATTCCGTAGAACTGGGTTGGGGTGTGAAAAAGTATTTGTTGTTAACATTCTTTTTTCATTCGGTTTTTCCAGTTACGAGTCCTTTTTTAAAGCTGATCGTTTTGTGTTCATTTTGTTTAGTTCGTTTTTCGTAACAGATTTAATGTTTAGTATAGTCTTAGAACAAAATCGCAGTGTGAGATAGTCAAGAAGTAAAGCATGTAGCAACATGAGCACGGCA